GGAAGGAACCCTAGAATTGATTTCCCTTATCTAGCTATAATTTTGTACCGTTTAACACAGGGGTCCCCAAGTCCCAGGCCATGGACCAGTACCAGTCCATGGCTGGTTAGGAATCAGGCACACAGCAGGAGGGGAGAAGCAGGTGGGTGAGTGAGCTAAGCCTCATCTGTATTTACAGCTGCTCCCCCATTGCCTGCATTCCCAACTGAGTTCTGCCTCAGCTGCAGCATTAGATTCTCATAGGAACGTGAACCCTTTGTGAACGCACATATGAGGGATCTAGGTTAACCCACTCCTTATGAGAATGTAACAATGATTGAAGAGCTGAAGTGGAACAATTTCATCCCAAAACTATCCACATCCCCATCTGTGGAAAAACTGTCTTCCATGAAACCAGTCCCTGATGCCAAAAAGGTTGGGGACCGCTGCTTTAACAAATCTCTCCCTCTCACTTCCCCATAAATCCTATTTTAAAGGTGGAAATTGAGGCACAGAAATGTCAAGTACCTTATCCAAGTTTACACAGCTAGTAAATGTCACTGCTAGGAGTTAAGCTCCACAGTCAATGCAAATAACTGCTACACCATGAAGATGAAAAAACTGAATCACTCTGGACTTAGGTTCCTTAACCTTAATGTGCTTTAAATCTGCAGAATGGAGATTAGATCCCACTTTAAAAAGTACCCTGCAGAATTCCATATCTTGTCGACACTCAGGCATTCTCCAATTCAGTTCTCTTCTTTGAGCAACCCCACAGGTTTGTCATGAAGTAATGTGTAATTTTGCTAGGATACAAATGTAAATGACAAAAGCTGTGCAAGGTTGGCCCACCAGAAATACAATACTTAGCTGGTACAGGAAGGGAAACCAGTGAAGAACCCAACAGCTACATGAGCATGTAGCTTTATTTTCCTCATCTCTTGGTGCACATTAAAATTCCAGAGAAATGGTATGCCATAGTAGTATTCTCAAATTTGGAATTTGTAAAGGTTTTGAGATGTACCCCTAGACAAATGTCAAGGATTTGCTCCGTGTGCCTGGTTGACATCCTTTGATATGGTCACCTGAATTATAATTTTTTCCATAATTAAGGAAAAGCAGATATTTGTGAATTTAAACATATAATATCTATTTAAAGAGTGATAATACACAGCATTGTTTATGAAGAGAACAAAATCATACAACTATATTGAGACAAGTTGCTATGGTAACCATTTCTCTGTTTAAATTTAGAGAGGCAATGCCTTCTGCTACTGGAAGATTTTCTCAGCTTTTAGTAGCAAGCATTTGGTATCATTTTATATATTGAGCCTGGTTTTTGTTTTAATATAGATGAGTTTTCATGTTACCTTACTTAACAGAAAGTGCTACATCCTTTAATATAATAAGTCATATTGAATAATCATTAAATGGAAATTGTATTGGGTGATGTACCCTCAAAGGTAAATAAGATTAAATATCTCATCCAGAATGTTAACAGATGATCATACATATCTTAAACAACTGTGTTGTTCTATAGCCAATAGTTTCAATTGTCTGTAAATGTTATTTCCAGAAAACTATTTCCTAGATTAACAGAGAAAAGTTAACACATAAAACTCTGTATTTTACACCAAGATAATTTTTTACCCACATTATTTTCTTACATATCATTGGCAGATCCCTTCCTGCTTTCCCATAGAGTGATGGATGTATTATAATAAAAAAGGCTTTGTAATCAGTGGCAACACTTTCCAGATTTCCTGCAAACAGGAAAGATCATAAATTTTCTTATACTTTAACAATGCTTCCCTAACAACTCCTGTAAGAGAGTTCCTGTAAATTTCTGTAAGAGAACTATAATTTCAGAACATAATAACAGCAATAATAATAATATCACTCATTAAGCTCTTGCTTAGTATCAGGTTTGGTTCTAAGTACTTCACATGGGACACTAAATTTACAAACTTAGCTCAAGCAAGGGAATCCAGAGACAGCATTTAAAGATCTCATATTTGTTTATAAAAAAGAGATAACATTTAGCATTGATTATAAAGGTTTCTTTTTAATCTTTAAACAACCCCGACCCCATGAGCTTGCTGCTAATGGTTACCTTGGATACAGTACAGATCAACTTCCACATCCAGTAAGTTTTCCCTGAATTGTACAAATTAAGAAATCAAGTAATTTTCCCTCAGGTGTCATAGTCTGTGAAATAAAATAAGCAATGTACTGAATGTAAATGTATTAATAAGATTCAAAAATAAGTGGGTTTTTTTGTTTTGTTTTGTTTTGTTTTGAGACGGAGTTTTGCTCTTGTTGCCCAGGCTGGAGTGCAATGGCGCGATCTCGGCTCACCGCAACATCCGCCTCCTGGGTTCAAGCAATTCTCCTGCCTCAGCCTCCTGAGTAGTTGGGATTCAGGCACGCGCCACCATGCACAGCTAATTTTTTGTATTTTTAGTAGAGACGGGGTTTCACCATGTTGACCACGATGGTCTCGATCTCTCGACCTCGTGATCCACCCGCCTCGGCCTCCCAAAGTGCTAGGATTACAGGAATAAGTGGTTTATACCAAATAAAGACAGAAAATTGGCTACCGAAACATGTCATAAACGTTCAACACTCCAAATCACAATTGTAAAAGACACCAATATTTCCTGTAATAATACATTAAAGCATCATTTTTGCTTTTTGTTTTTGCAGTATGCCTGGTATTGTGAATTTATACTTTATATACGCAATGACATTATGAATTCTATATTTATACCTGAGGAAGCCTAGAACTTAAATATTTGCATATACATCCAATGAACACACTGTTGCCAGTTGTGACTACTGTCTCTTTTTCCTTTTGTAAGAAGGTGGATGAGTAATTTGTAGTAATCAAAAAGCAAGCATGCTTAAGTTAAAGGCTTTTTTTTTTTTTTTTGAGACGGAGTTTCGCTCTTGTTACCTAGGCTGGAGTGCAATGGCGCGATCTCGGCTCATGGCAACCTCCGCCTCCTGTGTTCAGGCAATTCTCCTGCCTCAGCCTTCTGAGTAGCTAGGATTACAGGCACGTGCCACGGTGCCTGTAACCCCACCCGCCTCGGCCTCCCAAAGTGCCGGCTTGAGCCACCGCGCCCGCAAGTTAAAGGCTTTTGCTTATGATTTTCACAGTTTGTTATAATATAATATACTGGTGTAGGAAAGGAAATCAAATTATTTAAGTGACTAGACTTTTTCTTCATACACAACTGTTTTCAATAAGCACTCCCACAAGTTGTTTATGTAGTATTAGTTAGAGGATATAATGAAAGAGCAATAAAACAAACTTCTTTATCACTGCACTTAATAAACACCGGAAGTGCTCCAATGTGATGGACTTTCAGTTATAAATAATTGACTGTATCCAGATTTTTATAAAATCCGATAGACTGTGCCACCTCACATTTAGCCTATAATGGCACTCAGCTTTTCTAATTCTTCTCTATGCTCCAGTCTAAAAAAAAAAAAAAAAAAAAAAAAAAAAAAAAAAAAAAAAAAAAATCAGTTCTGTTTAATCCTTCAAGAATACAAACTAGTGATAGAATGGATTTTCTACACTTTTAAGTAGATTTTAAAAGGACATTTTCTACAGTAGAAAATTAATTATTCCAGATATGTGTTTTACCTCAGTCATTCCTTATGCCATGTAACTACTGAGAGTAAGCCCCAGACAAAAAGATACTATTTGAAGTCTTTTGTACATAGGTAGATTGTTTTCTGCAATCAAATCCCAAAAGATTTTGCAAAATTTCAGTTAGGTGAGCCAAGAGTAACTACCACTTTCTGTAAATTCCGATAATCTTTCTGGCCTATGGGAGCATTTAGTTTATGAGCTATCCTAAATGCCCTAAGGAAACTGAAATGAGTAATTTCTTTATTTCACTAGTATTGGTTCAGACTACTCATTATATTAATTCTAATCACTCTCCTTGGAGGCAGGTAAGTGGCAGCCGCATTAGTAATGCTGCCCAGACAAGTACAAGAGGCTCTGTGGCCTTCCCGGGGAATGACTGTCAGGCGGCTGGCATCCAACACCCGACCAGAGGCCCACCCGTTGGTCCTCAACACACTAGCCACTGAAACCGCTTTTTAATTGGCTTAAACGGGCTTGTTTATTTTTCACTTTTCTGTCTATTGAAGTAGAAGCAGAAACCGGCCTTCCAAAACCTGCCTATCAGCATCTTCTTTGGCTCGCCTGACCTTCAGGCAGCGCAGCTGCCTGAACCGAGTTAAAAATGGACTTGTCAAGTTGGCTTTAATTTCTGTGGCTCTGCCGCTGAATGTCCTCCCACTGATCTGTTTATCACACCCTCCATACCCCTTCTGTTTTTGTTTTTCTAAGAATTTTATGCCAGGACAGCTCAAACTGCCTTTCAAGGCTCTAACCTGCAGATCCTTCTACACATAATCCTAGAGGACCCGGGAGGCAACACTAGAATTTCTACTGTAGGAACAACTTTCTCCCTCCAGGCATTCCCTAACCCACCCCAAGCTGATTCTCTGAACGGATCATCTCCTACTGGCACACCAAAGCGAGAAAACCGTGGCTTAGTAACTTTGGAAGGTTTGGCTTCTTGCTCATGGGTTGTGCGGGCATGTTGCCTCTTTCCAGGGCTCCTCTGCCCCTCTGTGTGTTCCTGTGCAGGACCGAACAGAGGTCTCACAGGGATTATCTGCTGATCCCCAGCAGAATCTAAAACTTTATCTTCAATCTCTGAAACTTCTTCAAAACATCCCAAACCCAAGATCCTCCCAACAGGGCTCGCCAGAAATGACAATTGCTTCTGCCTCCGGAAATGACAATTGCTCTAAGTGATGCACGGATGAGGAAGTACCTAAGATCCTACTAATGGTTTTGTTTCTTGGCAAACTCCTGCTCAATTCAAGCTCCCCACGCTCTGGCGCAAGATCTATTTAGAAGAGTGCCAGGTACCTTTCATGCGGAGAAAACGCGTTAGTCACAGATGTAAAAGCACGAAGGATGCCGGGGAACCAGGGAGTGCATGGGGTCATTAAGGCTCTTTCTAACATGCTGGCGAGCCTTCGATGAGGGATAGGAAAACTAGATCTGACCGCATGCAGCAGAGGAGGATACAGAAACGCTGAGAGGCAGTCGAGTTGACTGGGTTAGAGGCCAGAAATAAGTGCATACAATATATGATGCTCAGTGAACATTGCAACAGATTTAAGCCAAGTGTTCAGGACGACACAGCAAAGCCTCAGGACATGAAAATACACAGATCGTTAAGCTTCCAGCTGCCGGGAGCGGCCTGAGTGTGAAAGCGTGCACTTGCTTGGGGAGGAGACGCACTGAAGAAACGAGTTCAGGCTTTGACCCGAGTCAAAGAGTTGTGCACCCGGAATTACGGTAACAGTGACCCGAGGCCTACCCTGGAAACAGCAGGTGTCCGCACTTCTACTGGTTTATCTTCAATTCCCTGCGGCTAGCCTCGGGCCCTCTGGAAGTGCTGGGGTTGCAAGGGGACCGGACCCCAGAGGGGAGGGGCGGGGCGCCGGGCGGGAGGGGCGGTGCAGGTGGGCGGGCCAGGGCAGGGTGTGGACAGGACCTATAAAGTTCTGGCTGCCCCGGAGGCTATGCTGCTGCGCGGGGTGGGCGCGGGGTGAGCAGGGTGCCGCTGGCTGCTGGGGTCTGCAGGTCACCGATCCCCCGGGAGAGGGGACTCCTGAGGCGGCACCTGCCTGTGTTTACCCGGCAGCGAGCGCATCTCCCGGCAGGTGGGCGAAGCTGCGGCCTTGGGGGGCGCAACGAGGTCGAGGGGCGCAGTGAGGCCGCGGGGCGCTCTGCGCACAGCGCTTCCAAATTTTGCGAGTTAGTTTCAGGTTGTGGCTGTACTTGGCGGCTCCGCTCCCAGGCCTTTGTCAACTTGAGCTGAAGGGGCCGGTTCCTCCCCTTTGGCAGAGGAGTTCCTCCGCTAGTTCGCTCCCGCGACGCCGGGCATTTTAGGAGCCTCTGCACGACTCGCCTGACTTACTCCGTCTCTTCTCGCCTACTTTTTTCCAGCACTCAGGAAAGGCCGTTGCGCCCCGCGAGGGAAACGGAGCCGTTGACCATGGTTGCAACTGGCAGTTTGAGCAGTAAGAACCCGGCCAGCATTTCAGAATTGCTGGATCGTGGCTATCACACAGAGAGCCTGCTAAGTGGTGAGTGTCCCCGCTGCCCACACTTCTCCCCTCCAAAGGTCGGTGCCTCTCCATCTATCGGCTGAGCGGGCTTCCTCCCCTTCCTCTTTGTAGGAGGTGTCACAAAATCCATCTGAGGAGACTTCTTTACAAATTTTCTAACATCGTCTCTCCGTGATAGAAACAAAAGTAGCAGAAGTAGAATACCCGAGGGCTGCATGTTTCTAGTCTGGTGCCAGTAGGCTCTTTGGCATTAAGCTCCTCATCTTACGTGATTGTGAAGAATACAGTTTGTGTTTTAGGAAATGTATTTACCCCTGTAATCAACATCACCTCTCCCCCTGAATTCCCACGCACCCATTTGCCAGCTATTCCTCGCTCTCCCCTGACCCCTGGGAACTACTGAACTGATTTTTATCACTCCAAGTTAGTTTTGCCTTTAGGTAACTGGGACCATACAGTATATACTCTTTGGTATCTGGTTTCTTTCCCGTGGCCTAATGTTTTTGAGATCCTTTTATGTTGTTGCTTAAAGTGTGTTCATGTTTATTACTGAGTAGGATTTCAGTCGTGGATATATCCATTATTCCATTTTTACTGTGAGAAGGAAACTGTTGAACAGCAGCCCTGCTTGACTTGCTGTCATTTGCAATTTTAACAGCAGTTTCTTTTTTTTTAGGTTCAATCTTCTTAGCTTATATTCGATTTGTCGGAATGTCTTTTTACCTCTTCGTGTTTGCTTTCTTCTTTTCTGTCATCTATTTCCAAATATTGCATTTTCCATGGTATCTATTCACTTTTGTGCTTGTAGTTTTCATTTAAAAAAAAATTGTTTTTTCCTTATAATTCATTCCTGAGCTCCACAGGCAGTGTTTTCATACCCTCCTTTTGTCTAGTTACCACATTTCTGGGCTTTTCTATTTCCTTCTCTCTCTCTCTCTCCTTTTTTTTTTTTTTTTTTTTTTTTTTTAGACTGAGTCTCACTCTATCACCCAGGCTGGAGTGCAATGGCATGGTCTCCACTCATTGAAACCTCTGCCACCCAGGTTCAAGCAATTCTTGTGCCTCAGCCTCAGCCTCAGCCTCCAGGGATTAGCCTCCCTCTAGCTGGGATTACAGGCACCTGCCACCAGGCCCAGCTCATTTTTGTATTTTTAGTAGACACAGGGTTTCACAATGTTGGCCACGCTGGTCTCAAACTCCTGGCCTCAAGTGATCTGCCCACCTTGGCCTCCCAAAGTGTTGGGATTACAGGAGTGAGCCCACCACACCTGGCCTGGGCTTTTCTATTTCTGGTTTATGCTGTTCTTTCATTGCTTCTGTCATCTTCTGAATATCTTTTATCTCATTTTGAAATATCATGGAGCAGCATCTCCTGCTGGGTGGGCCTGTTTCTGGAACACCTTCACTGCTGCAATGCTATACAAATCATCTTTTTTCTCACATATCTTTGTGTGATGTTTAACAACACTCTTTCTTGCTTTTAACAGCAGTTTGTAAGTGAATACACTTCTCTGCCACTAAAGAGCTGTAAGAGCATAGATAAACTGCTTAAGCTCTTCGGGTTTGCCTCCTTTCAAGGTGAAGTGGTTGATGACCTAATTTATAGGCCAGAGCTCCAAAAGTCCCTATCTTCGGTGTACATAGAATCTGGAGTCCTTATTCTTTGGCGTGCATTTGTTTCATTTCGTTGTAAAATTTCTTTAAATAATCAAAATGTATACATGAAGTGGAGAGGAAAACCCAGTAGCTGATGAAGGTGGAGTAGGCTTAGGAAGAGGAGCCCGGAGGGCATCTGCCTGAACCTTTTTCATTCGACTGCGTGTGGTGTGGCATCCTGCCAAGTGGTAGGATTAATGTGAGGGGTAGGTGACCAAATGCAGAGCTATCTTTTTTCCTTTGAGCCAATCTAATTTTATTTCCCTAGGACTGTTTTGTTTTGCTTGGCTAAGAAAAACTACCCAGCCAGTTATATATATAGTCATGAACCTCAAAGGTCTTCTCTTCTCTTTGCACAATTTTTAATTAAAGAGGTTAAAGCTAAAATTGAGATCTACAGGGCACTCCAGTAAAGACTTAAAGATGCAAATTTGATAGCTCTTTAATATCACTCTTCAACCTCATGGACTTTAAGCACAATAGTAACAATTCTTTATTTTTTACATGTATTCCTACAGTTAGAAACCGTGCCTTAGTCCAAAAAAACAAAGTTATAACTTTTTATTCCAGAAGTAATATATGTTTTCTGTAAAACAAAATTAGAAAAACCCCATAAGCAAGTAGCCAAGAAAGAAAAGAAAATCACGAATAATCTGGGAAAATCATGAGTAGATTTCTGATGCATAGCCTTTATGATTGCATGTGCGTTTTGTGTGCACACATAAATTGAAAGAAAAGTGGTTATATCCTATCCACTATTATCCAAACTTTTATTTCACATATGAACTTTCACTCATGAGAAGTTAAAGGATTCGCTGTATTACCTACCTAGTTAACAGCTAATTGAGGTCAGCTGACTCTCAAACAAACACTAGGAAAAAGCAGATATGGTAGATAGAGGTAACCAATGTTGATATCATGGTTTTTTTCTACTCTTATTTTTTTCTTTATCTCAAAAGAAAACTCCCATTTCTTACAGATTTTGACTACTGGGATTATGTTGTTCCTGAACCCAACCTCAACGAGGTAATATTTGAGGAATCAACTTGCCAGAATTTGGTTAAAATGCTGGAGAACTGTCTGTCCGAATCAAAGCAAACCAAACTTGGTTGCTCAAAGGTCCTTGTCCCAGAGAAACTGACCCAGAGAATTGCTCAAGATGTCCTACGGCTTTCCTCAACGGAACCCTGTGGCTTGCGAGGTTGTGTTATGCACGTGAACTTGGAAATTGAAAATGTATGTAAAAAGCTGGATAGGATTGTGTGTGATTCTAGTGTGGTGCCTACTTTTGAGCTTACACTTGTGTTTAAGCAGGAGAACTGCTCATGGACTAGATTCAGGGACTTCTTTAGTAGAGGTCGGTTCTCCTCTGGTTTCAGGAGAACTCTGATCCTCAGCTCAGGATTTCGACTTGTTAAGAAAAAACTTTACTCACTGATTGGAACAACAGTCATTGAAGGGTCCTAAAACGGTAACATTTATAAACGTTATTTCGTGATTGGGTAGTGAAACTATTCAGCAAGTCAGCTAAAGTCATTTATAGTTTGCCCCACCTACCCTCAATAAGAAACCCCAAATGTAGTCCATTTTCTCTTTGTGTTTCACATTCATAGCAACTGCAGCTAACAGGCTGATTTTCTGGCCTTTGGAGAAATGATCCAAAATAGCGTACATTTTCTGCATATATCACATTTTTGTAGAGAATTGAATGAAATGGAATAGGTAAGCAAAAGTAGAAGTCCATTTGAGTTGTACATTTGATTCCACAATTTTGTTTCAGGTAGTCTTGCTAATAGACTACATAAACCAGATTTGCCTAGTTTGATTTTCATATGGCTTTTTTTTTTTTTTTCTGTAAGGTTTCAGAGTGATTCTTTAAATCACAAAATCTTACTAAGTGACATTTAGCCTATCAAAACTTCCAGAAGCCTAGACCACCAGTTCCTGACTCAAATTTGAATTGTTCTTAGACAGGAGGGTAGGATTAAGTAGGTGAGTTTAATTAAAGCTTAACCCTAGGTAAGAGTGAATGAGAAATATTATGGCTATAATGGAACTGCTTCACTGTTTCTTGGTGACTTCCTCACGCTGTTTTAAAAAGGCGACAAAAGCTTGCTCTGCCATTTCAGTAACCACGGTGTTGGTTTGGATGCTTTTATAAGCTCAGTTTCCCTTGTTCTTAAGTGTTAAATATTGTTTTTAACTAGAAAAATGCAAAATATTGAACTGATATTTTTGCGTGTAGTTGATTACTCTTCCATTGAGTGAATGATGAATGCCTGTGAGAACAGGAAATTAGTTCTGAGATCTAGTCCCTCTCTGATGTATTTACTAATCTGTCTTCCTTTCAGTATTACACATGCTTAATCTCAGATGAACCATTTCACCATGTCAGTGTTATCTCATCTCTGGGCTTTTCTGGGAATTGAGGTATCTCTCCTTAACCCCAATTTTCAAGGGCAGTAGCTGTATACTACCACTTTGAATGATCGAAACAGGGTCAATTTGCAAAGTCTGCATTGGCTATGGAGATATGGTTTATGGTACAGCCTAGACAATGAAACTCACAGCCCAGATAACTGTGCATATACCGGATTTCTTTCACCTTGGATACCTGTCACTAGGGAATAATAAAGGCCTTATTTTTTGTCTTATTCTGACTAAGTAGATCATTATCTCTTTCCTTTTTTATGTTAATGAGAGAATTTAGCCTCTACCCAACAATGTTCAATTCAGCAAGGCTTTCATATCCTTGCTGTGGGTCGTGGATAAGGAGCTTATTCAGGTTTCCTGCCCTAGCTATTAGTTCCACTCCACATGCTGGAGACTGGTGTCAGGGACAGATGTATCATCCCGGTGTTACTCAAAAACAGGTGTGATCCTGTTACTGATACTATAAGTGACCTAAAATGTCACTGTTCAAATTAGCAAGTGTTCTAACAAACTAAACTCTTCCAATGCTTGGAAAGATACTACAAAGCCAATCTTTACAGAATTAGGCCAAGATAAATCCATGTTGTTCTGCATGTCTATTATTAGGCTCCAAAGGTTCACTGTGTTTCTGCTGCTGTCCTGGAGTTGTCACCACTGACTGGGCAACGCTTCTTGGGCATGGATGTAGAACTGTTGTCCTTTTTCCACTAATAAGTTTTCTTTGACTCTTGCCTGTTATGCTTACAAAATGGTGATGGCTTTTGGAGGCTGTTAAATTAATATTCCTGTTAAAGGAAATTAAAGTTTGTCTATTTTTGACAATAAAGCATTATATATTTTTAATTCTCTTGTTCTTTTTTTATCTTTCCCTTACTCCTGGAGACAGTGGTCACAGGATCAGGGCAGCAATTACAAGGGCTGTAAGTAGGGATGACTCATTCCCAAGAAACCTTATATCAGAATTCCTTACGGGCCTGATAGTGGGTTGTGCTTTCATCTCATTTAGCAAAATTGGTGTTAACAGGGAATGCAGCTATTTTGCCTGGTAATAAAAATAGCCCACCACTTCTGCACCTGTGTAGCCTAACCCTAACTTAATGGGTGTGGACTGAAAGGGAGCACATGCTAGACTAGCGTTAGTACCTTCCGTCTAGACACCCAGGGTGGGAAAATGTAGGCAAACCTTCCCTTCCAAAGGTGGAAGACTTGGGGTATAAATGAAGTGAAGGAATAGTAGATCTAGGTAAAGGAATGAATAAATGGGTTATATAAAGAGGAAAATCCAATATTATCACCTCAAAAGAGGCTTAGAGCAGTTGATGATGATGTCTTCCAGCTCAATTATAACAGATGCCTGAAAAGGTGAAGCTATATTTGCGGAGACTACTTCTTTTGCAAATGGAAATCTGCAAACCTGAGTGACCTCCTTCTGGGAGACATTTATACTATACGGCAAACTTGATTAATGATAGATGATTCAGTGAGATTTGTGCAATTATCTTTTAAGTTGTATATCCTTTTGATGTAAGGGAAGATTCGGGTGATCTTCAAATACATATTGTGAAATATACATTTGGTCTTAGTTCCTGTTACCTGGTATAGAACTCTTGAACTACTTAGATTCTTCAAAGTGGTAAGTGTCTTTTGTAGGCTAATGATTGATTGATGGCTGGAAACCCCCAGGTAACCTCAGTAGTCTTGGTCCTTGGTCCAAGGGGCTTGGTCACCAAAAAGACAAAGGCTGTATTAGGGTGTTGGGACTTTTAGCCCCACCAAACCCTCACCTCCACTCGGAAGGAGAGAGGAGCTGAAGATTAAGCCAATGGCCAATGATTTAACCAGTCTACATAATTCTACATAATGAAGCTCCCATAAAAACCCAAAAGGACTGTGTTCAAACACCTCTGGATAAGTGAACACTTGGAGGTTCCTGGAGAATGGTAGGCCTGGAGAGGACATGCAAGCTCTTACTGCTTCCCACATTCCTTGGCCTATACATTTCTTCATAGGTGTTCACAGCTTCTTTTCTATTAGTCTTTATGATAAACCAGTAAACATAAGTGCTTCCCTGAGTTCTGTGAGCTGCTCTAGCAAATTAATCTAATCCCAGGAGGGGGTCATAGGAACCCTAATTTATAGCAGGTAAGTCAGAAGCACAGGTAAAGCAAGCTAGGGCTTGAGGTTGGCATTGGAAGTTGGGGGTGGGGGACAGTCTTATTTGAGGCTGTCTCCAGGTAGTGTCCAAATAAAGTTGAATTAGAGGATACCCAGCTGGTGTCAGATGCAGAATTGATTGCTTGCCTGGTGTGTGAGGAAAACCCACACACATTTGGTCACAAAAGGCTTCTGTGTTCATTTTCGAAGTGAGAGGGTATAGGAGAAACCAAGTTTGATTACTTTTACCCTCTCAATATTCTCATAATGGATAAAGGATGTTGTTTTTAATAACTGGTACAATAATGACCTTTCACAGAAAATAAATATGTTGTATGCACACACATTGAGCATAAAAATCAATTTCAGGTTGATTGAGAAATTAAATATAAAAGGGAAACTTAGAAGACAGAATTTTCATAATTTTGAAGTAGAGGGAAGAATTCTTAAATAACAGGACAAGATGCACTGAAACATTTCTTTATCAAATAATTCTAGAAGGAAGACAAAATTAAAACTCAGGAACTGGAAGAAAGTATTTTCAACACATGTAACTGAAAAATGGTTTGTAACCAGAATACATCAAGAATTCTTGCAAAGCAATAAGAACACAAACCAACCCCCCAAAAATATGTGATCAAAAGCCTGAATAGGCACCACATGGAAAACGAAACCAAACTGACTGATAAATATATGAAAACATCTTCAATCTAATTGGTAATCAGAGAAATTCAAATAAAAAGCAATAATAAAATATCAATATAGACATCCACATTATTTTTAAAAAATTGATAATTCTAAAAGTTGGTAAGGAAGCACACACATAAAAATCACATCAACAAGTCAATATATGTATGTGGCATTATTTTATAAATTTGCTAAGTACATTTTGTGAACCAGCATATCAGTGTTCTTCAAACTTTTTTTTTGAGAGAGAGAGAGAGGGTCTTGCTCTGTCATACAAGCTGGAGCACAGTGGCATGATCACAGCTTACCATAGCCTCTATTTTCCAGGCTCAGGCAGTCCTCCCACCTGAGCCTGCCAAGTATCTGAGACCACAGGCGTCCACTACCATGCCCAGCCAATTTTTTTATTTTTTGTAGAGACAGGGTCTACCCTATGTTGCCCAAACTTGTCTTATACTACTGAGCTCCAGTGAGTCCTCCCACTTTGACTTTCCTAAGTGGTTGTATTACAGGTGTGAGCCACTGTGCCCTGCCTCTCCCATTTTTTAAACTTTCATTCAAATTACTTATCCTAAGTTTAAAAAAATTGCAAATGATGTAAAGTCCAGAATGTGAAAAATACTGGCCTTTTAAAATAAAACTATCACATCATCTTTTAAGTATTTCCAACAGAATGTAAGTAGCATAGTAATTTGACATTCAACAACATCTATTTAGAAAACATTAAAATAGGGTCTTCAACAGAACTAAATTTTTTCAGTGATACTTTTCTTTATCCATGTCTCTTTTCAAAGTCTACATCTTATACTGAGTTTTTCTTTAATGTAAAATCTTTTAAATTTAAAAGTTCTTTATTATTTCTTCCCTATAAACAATGATTACAAATTGAAATTAAATTTTTTTTAGATTTTCTGTGACTGTGAGTCTTTAAATGTCAATTTTTGAGTGAGTTAACTTTGCAAATAGTAATAATAGACAATGATCAAAATAACATGTTTTCCAAATTTTTGAATACCGTTAAACATAATAATAATAATACTAAGCTATTTCTTAATGAGATGACCTTTTAGTTAATTAATTTGTGGTTTAATTTTTTTTTCACTACAATTGAGAGTTTAGCATTTTCTCTCTCTCTCTCTCTCTCTCTCTCTCTCTCTCTCTCTCTCTCTCTCTCTCTCTGTCTCTTTCTCTCAATGTCTCACTCTCTGGCTCAGGCTGGAGTACAGTGGTCCAATCCTAGCTCACTGCAGCCTCAGACTCCTGAGCACAAGCATTCCTCCCACCTCAGCCTCCCGAGTAGCTAGGACTACAAGGGTGCACCACCACACCCAGCTCACTTTTTAATCTTTTGTAAAGATAGGGTCTTGCTATGTCACCCAGGCTGGCCTCAAACTTCTGGAGTCAAGTGATCCTCCTGTTTCAGCCTCTCAAAGTCCTGAATTCTTTCAAAGAATTCTTTCAAAGCAATAAGGAAATCACAAACAACCCCCCAAAAAGTATATGTTCAAAAGCCTAAGCCACCATGCCTGACCATCTATTTCTTGTTTCTATAGATGTAAGCTCTGAGAAAATCTATTCACATCAATAAGATGGGAATGTAGGAGATTTGGTTATCTATCACTCAATCTTTGAACTACTTTCAAGGTATATACTCAAATCACATGAAAATATATCATCAAAAAATTATTTTAAGTGATTAGTCTGCACATAATTTAATCAGGTTTTCTTTCAATATTGTTGAAACAAACAAACAAAAAAACTGAAACCACCTGACTCACAAAAGTACTTGTTACCTAAGCATGCTAGTTTGCCAGGGCTACAATAACAAAGTACCAAAGACCAGAGAGTGTAAACAACAAAAATATATTGTCTCACAGTTCTGGTGCCTAGAAGTCCAAGAGCAAGGTATCAGAAGGATTGGTTTCTTCTGAGGCTCTCTTTTAGGCTCATAGGTGAGGTCATCTTTTCTCTGTATCTTCATGTTGTCTTCCTCTGTGTTCATGTCTATGTCCTAATCTCTTCTTGTAAGGACACCAGTTATTGGATTAGGGTCAATCCTAGGGGCCTCATTTTAACTTAATTACCTGTCTAAAGACCCTATCTCCAAATGCAGTCACATGCTGACGTACTGGGGGTTAGAACCTCAGAATTTGGGGTTAACACGATTCAGCCATAAAGCCAAGCATTCAAATAATACTCAACACTCTTAATACTATCCTATAGCAATATTTCAAACTGTCCCTTTCTTTAGCACTCTAGAAGCTTTTACACCCTGGAATAAAGTATTATAGTATGATTGACCAAAAGTGAGAGAAAGGTATGTCTTTTGTTAAGTGAAGGAAGAAAATAAAGCACAAATTTAAAATCAGGACCTGTGTCTCTGACAAAGCCTTAGAGAGATCAGTTTTAGAAAAGAGCATATATAGAAGCAAAAGTCAATTTCTAAACCTTTTGCTTCTATATATTTAGAAATAAAACTATTTGTGCCCCACATATCCACATATCACAAGGAAAATATTTGTATATCCTTGTACATATATCCCTGTTTTAAGACTACTGCCCTTTATTCTTGCACTAATGCACTAGGAGACTCACAGGAGTTCAGCAACACAACTGTCTGGAAGAGTATATGGAGTGCCCATCAACTGTGGAATGGGTACATGAATTGTGTGTATCGTCATCAATGGAAGGCTGGTCAGCAATGAAAATGGACTTTAAATTACAAATGAGGCTGGTCTGGATACAGTGCTATTTACAACTAATGGATTACAACTAATTACAGATTTCTTTTTTTTTTTTTTTTTTTTTTTTTTTTGAGATGGGATCTTACTTCCATTGCCCAGGCTGAAGTACAACGGCGAGATCATGACTCATTACACCCTTGGTATCTCCAGCTCAGGTGATCCTCCCACCTCACCCTCCTGAGTAGCCGGGACTACAGGAGTGTGCCACCACATATGGCTAATTTTTAAAAATATTTCTTTTAGAGATGGGATTTCACC